AAAGACACTTTAAGGTTTTACTTCACACCCATCACATCAGCAAAGATGACAAAAAAGGAAAATGACTAATGCCAAAGAAGCTACTGGAAAACAGTCGCATTAATTCACAATTGATAGAGCTGTGAATTGGTGCTACCATTCTGGAAAGCAATTTGTTTAAATCTTTTTTTTTTTTTGGTAGTTGGGGTTAAGTGACTTGCCCAGGGTCACATAGCTAAGTAAGTGTCATGTGTTTGGTCTGAGGCTGGATTTGAACTCGGGTCCTCCTGACTTCAGGGCTGTGCTCTATCCACTGCACCACCTAGCTGCCCCCCTGGAAAACAATTTGGAACCTGTCCCAAAAGTCACTAAACTGAGCCTACATGTTGACCCAATATATACCATTACTAGGGTTATATCCCCAAAGAGATAAAAGGAAGAGGAAAAGGACCCATATGTAGATGGCAATTCTTTTTGTAGTAGCAAAGAGCTAGAAACTTAAATTAATGATGATTTGGAGGAACAGCTGAACAAATTATGATACATGAATATAACAAAATACTATTGTGCCATAAAAAATGATGAAAGGCAGAGTTTTGGAGAAAACTGGGAAGATTTGTATGAAATGATGCAATGAAGTGAGCAGAGCCAGAACAATTTATACCATAAAACTATAAAGGCAAATAACTCTGAAAGACTTTAGAACTCTAACCAATGCAATGACCAATTACAATATCAGGAGACCGAAAATGAAGTTAGGGACTAAATATGCAGAGACATACATTTCTGGTTGTGAAGTTTATTTTTGCTTACCTCTCCATAATTGTTAAGGGTCTCCCCTTACAGATGGAGAGAGAGAACATAAATACTTATTAATTAGAAAATATAAATAAGTAATTTAAAAATTTCCCAATATCACAATTCCTTAGATTCAAGTTTGGGTCTATCTCGGTTGAGGTGGGAGCCCCTAAAAGGAATGGCAAGGAAGGTGAATGCTGATGGAACCTAACTAATCCTGAGCCCTTTGGGTTGGGATGGAGGCTGTTTTTGTTCCTGGTACTGCTGAATCTTTGGTGTATCCTTTGTACTGCACAAACCTCGAGAGTCCTCATTATTCTTTCCCTTGGAAATATTCTCCATTTCCCCAAGCTGGAGTATTCCCTAATCTTTTTCCATTTACTTCTCAAAGGGAAAATTCCTGCTTCAACTAGGGACTTATCCATGAGTAGCCAAGTCAGAGCCAAGAGTGTGTGTAGATACTTGGCCCACCAGGGTAGACAGGACCATAGGTGAATTAGAGGTGGGGAATGGTGATCTACATTGACTGAACAGTTTTGTTTCTACCAAGTCTGAGAATGGGGTTTTTAAAAGTCATTCATTCAACAAGTATTTGTTGAGCATTTATTCCTTCCCTCAAGGAGCTTACACTCTAAAAGACTATACAAATAACTATAACACTAGGTACCATGTGACATAAATGCCGAAGAAGCTGAGGCTGGGTGAGTGTGAAGGAATAGCTCCAGATAGCCATAGCAATCAGATAAGACTGCAAATCCCAGTGTGCTTCCTTTCTTTCTTAATCAACTGAGATATTATATGTAAAGCACTTGCTAAGCCTTACAATGCTATAGAAATGCCAACTATTATCTGAATATTCCCAGGGGCAGTTAGGCAGTACTCAGCAGGATCGGCACTGAACAGGTTACCTTCTGGGAAGGCAGGGAAGTTTCAGTAGAAGGGAAAAATCATAATCTTCTGAAATTCCAGCAGGGGGCAGGCAAGCTCTACCCAGCCCAGCCATAAGACTAGGTTGGCAGCAGAGACCCAGGCCTGCTACTGTGACTTGAACAGAATTGGCCAGAGATAAAGCTTAAGTATTAGTCAAAGCGCAGCCATGAGAGGAAGAGATGAGGTGGTTCTGCCTCTTCCAGACTGCACTGCTTAAGACACTTTCACCTCGGAATTCTATGATCTTTGCACAAGCTATAGCTTGCCCTTCCTGGTGCCCATTTAACTCAACCTTTTTAATGCCATGGACTGCTTGGCAGTCTGATGAAGCCCTTCTCAGGATGTTTTTAAGTGCATAAAACAAAACATACAGGATTATAAAGAGAGCTACTTATATTGAAATAAAGGGATTTTAAAGTTTGCAAACACTTCCCTTCTTCCCCTCAGTTAAAGGAGGCAAAGGCATCTTGAGGGTTTTCAACCTCTCCAGTTAAAAGATGAGGGCATCTTTGAGGGTTTCCAGGCAGTATTTCCCCCACCCCCAATGGAAATTGGCCTGCACTTCCCTCGAGGGTGGATGAATCAGGGAGGGGTCTTCACCCAGGTCCAGTCTGGATGACTCTAACACTTCTAATTCAGACTGTGTACTAGACTAGGGTGTGCATCTTGCCTTGGGCTACTTATGAGAGTAAGATCATAGGACTCAGAGATGAAAAGGACCTTAGAAATTATCCAGTTTAGTCTTCCCCTTTTGCAGATAAGGAAACTGAGGTCCAGATACTGAGATTTGCCCCTAGTTATACAGATGCACCATTTTGAGCATGTTGCTGCTTTAAGATCACCTCTCCTAACCTCTGAATGGTCGTTTTCATGCCTTTGACTGATTTAAACCATTAGATCTTTAAAAAAAAAAAAAAAGCTACCCACATCCAGAGAAAGAATCATGGAGTCCGAATGCAGATTGAAGCACGCTATTTTCTTTTTTTTCCTTTCTCGTGGTTTTCCCCTTTTGTTCTGTTTCTTTTAATGACTAATATGGAAATGTTTAACATGATTGTACATGTATAGCCTATATCAGATTGCATGCTGTCTTGGGGAAGAAGGGGGAAAATTTAGAATTCAAAATCTTATAAAAAGTGAATGTTGAAAACTAAAAATAAATTTAAAAAAAATCTTTACAAAAAGTTATTTTAAACATTTTTACTTTTAAATTGAAACCCAAATTCCCTCCCTCTCACCCCCTCCACCACCCATTGAGAAGGTAAACAACAGCAATTATACATGTGAAATCATGTAAAACATATTTCCATATTTCCAAAAAAAAGTCCAGAAAAATAAAGTGTGAAAATTACACTTCAATTTGCACTCAAACTGTTGGCTCTTGATGATCATTTAAACCAGATTTTACTTGAATTAAGGTCACACAGATGCACCCTCATGGTGCTCCTTCAAGATCTTCCCCTTCCCAAAATTCCCCCTGAAGACTACTCTTGGTGGTCATTTAAATCCGATTTTACTTGTACTTTTAAAAATAAGAGTGCAGGAAGGACAAGCTAAGGGACAGTCAGCCCCCTGTGTGGCTTATCCTAGGGCTACATTTGACAGATGACACAGAATCTGGGGCTAGTTAACAGAGAAATTCAAGCAGGCACAAAGCCAAAGGGTCATAACAATGCTTGGCTAGTCTCCCTGACCAGAAGCCAGGCACAGGAGCACCACATCCTCCTCCTCCTCCTCCACCTCCACGGTGGTAAGTAGCATGTGTCTGAGGAAGGTATGGAAAGGAACAGAACAGCTTAGACCAGGGGCAGCTAGGTGGTGCAGTGGATACAGCACCAGTCCTGTAGCCAGGAGGACGTGAATTCAAATGTGACCTCAGACACATAATACTCATTAGCTGTGTGACTCTGGGCAAGTCACTTTACCCCAATGGCCTCGCTGAAAAAAAAAAAAAAAAAGCTCAGACCTGCTGCAGCGTGGAAGAAAGTTGAACAAGTGGTGAGATGACAGGCTGGTGGATTCAGTGCAGCAGCAAGAAGGCTTCCATTTCCTCTGCTATTCCAAGTCACAAGACCCCAAATCTGGCTCTAAGCTCCACTCTGGGCAAGTGACCCTCTCTCTAGCTAGGCCTCAATAATAACAGCCAGTACTTATACAGTAGTGCTTTAAGGTTTGCAAAACACTGTGTATATGACCTCATTTGAACCCCACAACAACCCCATGAGGTAGGTGCTATTATGTCCATTTTACAGATGAGGAAACAGGCTAAAATAGTTTCATTTTATCCAGGGTCACACAGCTAGCAAGTGCCCAAGGCAGAATTTGAACCAAGGTTTTCCTGACTCCAAATACTGCACTCTGGATACTACACCACCTAGCTGCCTCAAATATCCTTGTTTGTAAAATAAAAAGGTCCCTTCCAGCTAGCTTCTTGGCAGCCCACTAATTCTAAACCTCAGAGAACTTTAATGCAGCTAGGGCAAGCCAACAGACACATGGTTTTGCCAGCTGGTTAAAAAATATTGGAGATAGGTGTGTGTGTGTGTGTGTACGTGTATCAGAGATGTACGTATGTGTGTATATACATACATTCCTTCAGGAAACAGGCTAGCCTTTTGTGACTTCTCTTCCTACTCAACCATCCTTAATGGTCACTTAAACCTGATTTCACACTTAGAAAAATGTCTGGCAGGGGAGAGATGGTAGGGGAACAGTCCCATATGACTCACTGAACCCTTTGAATACCTCAGGAAGGAAGGACTAGATCCTGCAAGGGATTCTCCAAATCGCTTAAGCCAACAATGAGGGCTAAGGAGAAGAATGAGGCCCACACCCGGAATTTCCACAATGGCCAAAGGATAGGACGCCAGTCAGAGTAAGAGGTTAGGAAAAGAGGCAAATCCTTGCCACCCACTGGAAACACATTCTGAAATCAGATGGACTGGACTCACAAGCGTATTACAAAACAGCTGATGCCAAACTGCTGTGACCAAAAAAAAAAGGTCCAGAGATTACAAGGAAATGCCCAGAGTCTGGAAACTGGCCAGCACCGTTCAGGTGGAGCTGGCACCGCAATGAACTGAGACGTGACTTAGCTCCCGGGGTTCGGAAGGGTGGGGAAGAGTGTTCAAGGACGCTGACCGCTCCAATGAAGCAGAGGTACAGGAACCTCTTAGCTGCTGCCTTAGTTCAGATACAGAGGACACTTCTAACATGAGATGGCCCTGAAAGGGGGGCAAAATAGGTATACACCAACAAAGACAAAATAACTATTAAATACGTTTTCCGCTGCGTCATCCTCATTTTGTTCTCTTAATAGATGCGTGATTCTGGGCTGTATACAAAACAGATGAGGGGAGAACGGGGCTTCTACTTAGACCAATATAGCATCCTTTCAAGTCATGCCGACCCTGAACTAGACTCTTCTTTGCTAAGCTCTAAGGACCCTAGGAAGTTAGGTCAGGATGCTGGGTACCTTTGTGAATGACACGTGCCTCCTCAAAGCAGACACTCCAGCAAGCCATTTGGTTTGGGGGGAATGAGTGTAAGTCTTTCTTTGTAAGGTTACATGTAACTGAAAGGATCAAGGGATTGCAGGAACTGGCTAGGTGTTATGCAGCCCTTCTTTCTACACCTATCACAGCAGCAGGGTACTTGTTTGAGGCAAAATTTAAAATGAGAGTGTCTCATCTAGAACAAACTAGCTTTATCCGTTCTTAGCAGCAAGCTTCTAGGATCTGAGACTGCTGAGTGGGGAGGGGAACTAAGGCCATTTTTCACTTTAGGGAGGAGGGTAGAAGCAAGCAGGAAAAGGAGCAGCCTGAATAAATAACTCTACTACTTCTCTTCCCCCACAACGATGGCAGGTAGGGAAAGGTTCAACTACCTCAAAAGTTCAACCCAAGCTGGAAAAAACAAAACAAACTAAAGAGGGAGAGCTGGCCAACGACCAGTGTTCTCTAACAATTCCCAGGAAGAATTTATGTGACTGACCACTACCTCATTGTATGTTTTCAGTTAAATAGGAGAGAATATGTTAATCCCTGACTGTAGACAGACACCACGGAGAAAGGCAGGGTGCAGTGCTTGGATGTGTTTGTGAGCATGTGCAAATGGACTGAGCAGAGAAGCTGCAGCTTAAAAGGAAAAGAAAAAACTAAGAAAAATTCAGCAACTGTTGGAGCAATCACATGCTGCTCCCCAAAGACAGACAGAGGAGATGTGAGGCTGGAGAACCCAAGTGACAACCTGCTCCTGTGGAGAGAAGGCCCCTCTGCAAGAACACCTCTGGTGATGACCTTTCCCAGGCAGCCAGGCCCTTCTACAGCAGAAGAGAAGTGCAGAAGTGTGGAACTGGTGGGGAGTGGGGAACAGGACAAAGGAAGTCTGCCCTAGAAACTCCAAGGCTCTTTTCTAGCAGTGAGAGCATAAGCCGACTCTGTCTGTGTCCTGAACCCAGCAAAAGCCTTAAGGCTTAGGAAAACACTATCCTTTGCTGGCTGGCTACAAAAGCGGAGTCAAGGTCATCTTGAGCATGCCTGCTGCCACTGACCCATCATCCTCAGTGGACATATCCCAGTAAGTCCTGCCCGGTGTTGAGCTCCAGCTGGAGTCAGACAAGCAGCAGGACCGGCCTTTTGCTGCTCTGGGTTACAGGAAAGAGGCAACGACCCAGCTTCCCACAGAAACATCCTTTGGCTGCTCTGCTAGGGAGGGTTGCAGGCTTTTAGGGGTTACTTGAAGGCCTTGTTGAAGGCCCGGCCAATGACCAGCCTCCGAATCTCACTGGTCCCAGCCCCGATTTCATACAGCTTGGCATCTCGAAGAAAGCGTCCCATAGGGAAATCATTAATGTATCCGTTGCCACCTGCAGCCAAGAAGGGACAACATGACATTAGTGGGAATAGGATGTGGGAAAATATCCATCTTTTGCTACCATTTCCTTCTGGGCTTCAAGTAGGGATTGGATGATGGAGGGGTAGGGATGAGGAAGGATAATGTGTGGGGGTTGGTCCCCAACTGTGGCCTAGACTGAAAAGGACCTGAAAAAGGTCCCGGGAACTAAGAAGGGTAGAAGCAAGAAAGGGCATTGGGACTGGTTGTGGTAATAATGCTTCTTATTCCTACCACTCTTCCGTAATGACAGGCAGCTACGTTTGTGTGTCCGCATAGGAGAGAGGCCAGCACACTCCCCCAGCGGCAGCCATCGCCCCCACTAGCTCCCTGTCCCCTAGCACGGCCCGAACAGCGCGTCAGGAGCCAAACCGTAAGAGGGTTCGAGTGAGTGACTCTGCTCCCATGAGGCAGCTGCGTGGAGCAGGGCACGCTTACCTAGGCACTGGATGCCATCCAGAGCCACGTGTGTGGCTGACTCTGCTGCATAAAGGATCACACCTGCACAGTCCTGTGGGAGGATGACACTGCCCTGTACCTCTGATAGGGCCCCTGCTGGACCCTGACAGAGGGGAGCACCTCAGGAGCCGGGGGACCCTTTTGGAAGGGTGTTTGCCATAGGCTGGCATACAGAGAGAACCTCTTCTTCAGCCTTTCTTCCCCCTCCCCATTTCCTTTGGGTTTGAAAGCCCGCTCACCCCCTTTCCCTGACAGGGGAGGCACTTACCTTGGGAGTATTATGCCCCTCATCATAAGCTTTGGCAACATTGTAGACGTATTGCCGACTGGTTGTGAGGCGGGTATACATGTCTGCCATTTTCCCCTGTATCAGCTAGGCACAAACAAGTAACCATGGTTATTACCTCCAGTTCCTTTCCTCCTAAGAGGAAAAGAAGTAGCTCTAGGCTCCAGGATGGGGAGCAGCAGCAGCATAGGGAGGAGGTCTTGGGGTAGGAGTGGAACTTACTCAAGGTGCCAGTGTTGGCTGAAACCTGGCAAGTGACACTCTCCACCATTCCACCCCAGAAGATTTAGGCTGTCTTCAAAGTACTTTCTTCTAAACAGCCTTTCAAGGGAGTTATTAAGAGTGCCTTATAGGCCTCACTTCCTTTCCCACCCCCGCCCCAAACAATAACCGAATGTTCCCACACCAACATCGGAAGACAAGCCCTGAATCGACACAGTGCAGCCTCCTTCAAAGCCAAGCGTGTACACAGTGAGGTAGCAAAGGCGTGTTTAGTGAAGCCCGTTCTCTACGTGAAAGCACCTAGAGATCGGGGAGCAGGTGACAGGTCCCACGAACACTTCTTGGACAGCTCGTGCCAGGAGTCTGGCTCTATGGACACAATCAAAGAACTTCCAAGGCCACTGGGATGTTTCCACAAAGCCCTTGGGGTGCTTAGGGAACCTCAGCCAGGGAAAAAGTAGCCAGATCTGCATCCCATGCCTTGCTCCTTCCTCTAGCATGACACACCTCCCCAGCCAGATCCTACTCACTTGAAAATGGCCGATCTTTTGCCCAAAGGCTTCCCTCACGTGCAGGTAGGGGATGGTGTGATCCAGGACAGCTTGCATGATCCTGCCAGAGGGAAGGGAGCCCTTCATCGCCCATCCCTGAATGAGGATAGCTGGCAAAGGAGCAAGGTGGGAGAGACGGGGTAGGACTAGTGATCCCACAGTAGCAGGAGTCAGGGGTCAGTGATGGCAAAGTCACAGAACCATAGGGAGAAAAAGGAGCGTGACATGGCATGCTCTTCTGATCTCTTTCTTCCTTTGATCTCAAAGCACCTGAAATGCAGTATATCACAGATGAAAAGGCACTGAACCAGGAGTCAAAAGATTTAGGTTCTCAGGCCAGCTCTTGCCACTAACAATACTGCTGAGCCTTAGTTCTCTCATTTGAAAAATGAAGCTCTTGTTCAATAACTCCAGCCAGATCAGATGATCTCTAAAGGCTGTTCTAACTTTGATTTTTTGGGGGGTGGGGTGGGGGTGGGCTGGGCTGGAGGTGGGGGACTAAGTATCTGGATCTATGATTTTATCCATACAAGAAATATTTCACGTGAAAACTCCCTTCACAGATTCAGCCTGGGAACTTACCTGCAACTTCCAGTCTGAGAGACTGGAAGCACTGGGAGGGTAAGTGACTTGCCAGGATCCCACAGTTTGTATGAATGTCTGTATGTGAGGCAGTACTTGAACTCAGCACCTCAGTCTAGTCCTCTATCCACTGTGCAGGCTGCTTCTCTGTCCTATGACTATGAGTTATTAACTTCTCTTTCTCTAAGGGTTCTTGGCAGAGGAAAACTGAGAAGTGGAAAAATTAGTGATGCCTGCTACTCCTTGACAGCAGGTTTGGGTTTAGAACCCAGGCCTTCTGCTTTACCCCATGTGCTGCACAACATAGCTCCTTGTGGCGTTTTCACCATGCTCTGAAGCACATTCCATTGCTATGCTAAGAAACGTGAAGTGTGTGTGTGTGTGTGTGTGTGTGTGTGAGAGAGAGAGAGA